CCGAGTACTTTAATTTCCGAGTTAGGAAATGTCATTTTACTGACGAGTTTTGTATTCAATTTTACTCGAAATCATATTTTAATATAAAATTTCAATTTTTATACAGAACTTTTGATTAATGTCAATCTGTCAGTGATGACAGGAGTCATAGACATTTGGAATTGTCACAAATGCGGCCGGTAAAGTGACGGTGTGGCCGGTAAAGTGACAGGTGTGGCCAGTAAAGTGACCAGCGGCAGGAAACGTAGTCTGCTCTTCCTGACAGAACGTAGGCATGAAAATAAAGGTTTCAGGGTGATTTTGGGTAAAATTTATTTGAAAATTCATTTGTTATTACCGGGTGCGTGTGGTAAATGCACATTATAGGATATAGAGCGATTTAAGATATTAGATCCAAAAACCCCACGTTCAAAAAGATAACACTAGAATGGTAATTAATCTGAATTTGGTTCAGGTCACTGGTGTAGCCAATGGTTGTTAAATTAAGGTCCCCGGTTAGCGCAACGTGAGCATAATTAATTTAATTCGTTAAAATATTTCATAAAAGTAGAAATTCTTCACTGTCTTAGTAGCCAAAGAACAGCATCGTGGAAATATCCCTTTCTAAGTGGTTTCTAATCTACCTGTTCTCTACAACAGAAAAAATTGGTAAATAATAACGTTTTTCGATTTTTTGAATTTTCAAAAACTTTTGGTTTCGATATCTTTATAGAAAATCATGTTAAGTGTACTGCACAAAAAATAGATGAAGGGATAAACATTGTGGAGGCACAATGATAGGACTCTGAGAGCTTTAGTTAGAGGTTTTTTTTAAAGTTCTGTAGGTAAGATTACCAAAATCTCTATTGACACGTATTTTTCGCATTTTTAAATTTCTGGTGAATTTAAACTCATTCCTTGGTTTTACGTTTTGAATAAATGGTGGATGCAGAGGGTATATTACATGTAAATTGTTGTTACGACAGTAAAGTGTACTATTGGAAACTGCTCCATTTCACTAAAGATTGAGGACTTGTGGTGAATGAATTTGAAAAAGGCTTTTTTGATTTTTTGTGGCAACTGCTAAAAAACAATTTCTTGCTCTAGATGATTTTTAGGTTGATCGTAGTTTGTTTCATCTGCAAGACTGATCTCGTCCCTACAAAGCAAATTTATTACTTAATTTCAATTGGTTAATGTTTGAGGAAATTGCTAGTAGGAAAGCTTACACAAATATCAACTGTTTACTGGAAACTACTATATCGCTAGTAAAGTAATGGGGAAGTAACAAACTCGATTATTCGAGACCGATTAGATGTTATGTAATGAATTATGTAAATATATGGTAATCGGAGGATGTTATTCTAGAAACTAAATTTAAAACTTTCCCGGAACAGCTCAAAACCTTCCAAGTCTAGTTATCGGTTAACATTGAGCGAAAGCAAAATTCAAACTCCACGTCTTTGTAAAGAGCACTCCATTAATATTAATATAATCACCTTGGAGGTAAATTACGTAACAACACTATAGTCATAGAATAATACCGTTTGAGTGCGTGGCAGTAATGTTAAGCGTTGCAAGGGTAATTTGATGTTTGAATGTCAGTGCGCTGTATATGCAAGTGTATTGTTTTACAGTTATATTTGCTGCAGTTACATTGCAGCATGATTTTATTGTGATTTAAATGTCACGAGTGCAATCGCGAATAGTGTTCTCTTCAAACGTGTAATGAATTCGTACGGGTCGGCCATGCAAAAGAGTTACCACCACGCAACCGGGGAACGCCTGTTCTGTGCGACAGGCACGTGTTGCGGTGAAAGTTTCTACGACACACGGTGGGCACGTTTAATTAGGACTAACGAGTATTAACAATGAAATTATTGGGCCACTAATGCAAGAATTCCTTTAAAAGGAAATTAGCAAATAGGAAACATTAGGTTCGTTATAGAGACTTTGGATAGTGTTCTGTTCGGGTCGAAAAAAACCCTTCATTATTCAGTGTTTTTGTTTTCTTAATTACAGCGATTCGTTTAAAGTACCACGAACTTTCTCAATTAGTCACTCTAATGGAACCTATAATGGCGTACTTACTTTTAATTAGATCTATGTAAAGAAAGTAAAGTAAAAGAAACTGCGGTAATAATAACTTTAGGGGTTCCTATTTATTTTGAGAAACAACACAACACAATTTTCAGAAACTTAGCCCTAGTGTTTATGTTTAACTTTGTAGTAAACCTATACAGCAAAAGCAAAATAATATAGAAAATAGTAGTAATTAAGTAAGATTTCTAGAAAATCGTCGTCATTCAAAATTGATGGGTAGGCGGTGGCTCGAACGGTGCAAAGGTGGTATCGCTAAGGTAATTGAATTTGGATCCCAAATTATAGATTTATTAATCACCTCAAGCTGTTGTCAAAATGAAACTCCATACAGTTGCACCGCATTCTCTCTACTCACACGAACTTAGAGGTTTCATTGCAGGTTTAATTTATGTGGATACACGGCGAGGTAAAGTTACACACCTACATTTAAGTAGGTGTTCGTAATTTATGAAATGAGAAAACTTGATAATACGGCACCGGATTACTTGTTGTGTTTACTTTTAGGCGTCAATAATTTATATTCTCACTTTCGTGTTGACGTGAAGGGCTATGAAATTAAATTTTGCCTCAATTTAGAATTTAGGGAAGTTTCAACATAGACGCTTAAAGCTTTTCGTTATAGTTACCGTTACCGTTAAAAAACACAAAAAGTGCTTCCTTTCATATGAAAGGATAATTTCGGAGTAGTAAATCAGTTATTAAGTTTGTTATTATGTCTAATAATACCAGTGACCCTGTTTAATTTTGGAATTAAAGGCGATGATTATCGTAGAAATACATCTTAAATGTATTTTTTTATCATATGCCCTACTGCCTCTCTTGAATCTATCTTCACTCACTGTTATCGTGTGTAATCTGAGAGTGAAATGACATCAAGTAAATTATTTAAAATTTCCTTTCCGAATCACAAACGCTTGACCGGGTTATAAAAAGAAAACTCAAAGATATTCTGAATTTTTTCCTTGAGTTCCAATTGAAATTCTCTACCAAAAGAAACTTTTTACTGTCTAATCCCCGAATTCTTCTTGCAACTTTTCCCCAGAAAACTTACCCATCCTTTGGTCTCATTTATATCTTTATACCTCATCCTGTTCTGCAGCGGCTCCAGAAGAGAGTGACGTGTGACTGGTCAGGGTGGTCGACTCATGCAGCATCCCGAACGAGAAAACGTCCTTTCCAAAAAGCTGCCAAAGTCTCTCCGTCTGGACGTTTACCATGTGAAAATATTCCAAAGTTAATATCTTCCCCTGTTATGATACTTGTCAGTAGCTGCTTTTTCTACTGCCCTCTTCACTTGGATTCCCTTGGGTTTAATTTCACTCATCAGGATGGTTTTGCAGTTTATCTTATTGCTATCATTAAATAGTTATTTATTATACAAGACGATAAAGGGATATTTTAACCATTGAGTGAAACTTTCACGAGATTATCGTCGAGTATAATACAAAACTTTATTTTATAGCAGAAGCCATATAAATCATTGTAAAACTTCTTACAATTCTGAATTTAATTTAGAGACGTCAAAAATAGCAAGCTTAGGTTCCGCCGTCGCGACCGTTTCTATAGAAACAGAATTGTCATATATTCGGGACTTCATTTTATATCGTGCATTTGAAATAAGAATGACAGATATCAATAGAATGCACACTCATCTGTTTCACTTTATCTACCTGTTAGAGATGGCTTGGTAAGAAAAATAATATAGTTCGTTGTTGGGTGTAATATATGTATATATAAATATATAACATAAAAATAAATATATAATATGGTTTTGTAATAAAAAAAATAAAAATACAAGTTGCGTTTTGATTTCTTGTTGAAGAAGCGACGTATATCAGCGTGTTGGTACACCAAACTAGCGGCCCCGTTCCTCAGAGTGTTAGTTTTTTAACAAGTGGCGACCGTGACAGGACCTGCATAATCGACACCTATGATTTCGAAAACTCCAGCATCACGGACGCAGTTCGGTGGCAGAGCCGGTTCTTCGCAGCTTGCCGGTTTTGCGGTTTGCCGTTTACACACGATGCATTTGTTTACGATAGTTTTTATCGTTCTTCTTAACGATGTGATCCAAAATTTTTCCCTTAATCGGCTCATAATGAGCGTAACGCCGACATGCCCCAATATTTCGTGGGTCTCTTTAACTAATAACCTTACTACATCGTGATCTGATTCTAATAAAATTGGATATAAAAATAATGGATCATCTTCGCGATATAAAATTTTCGTTTTTAACACGTGTAATCCGTCTTTGTTTTCCATTATTTTAAATGAAGACCACTTTTGATTATTGGTTTTAGAAAACATGTCGAATTGTAAACGTTTTAGTAAACGTATTTCTGCCTCTTCCAATTCTCTAACCATTAATCGTAAGTTTCTTACATCAATGTTATTTCCACGAAAATTCTCTTGATTTTCCTTTTTATACTTACAATTCTCTCTAAATCTTCTGGCCCACGCAGCAAATCGAATAATTTTAGAGTAAGACGAAAAATGAGTACAAAAATTAAAATCATTTGTACGTTCAACACTACTCAAATTTACAATCGCTGATTTTTTCCTTTTGCTTTGTACTTCTTCATCATTTACTATTGCTTCGGATGTTGGCCAATCTTTTTCTCTCTCATACAGCCAGCTTGGACCGTGCCACCACATGGATTTTACCAAACGAGACGGGCTGCACCCCCTTGAGGGAAGATCTGCAGGATTTTGGTCACCCGAAATGTGCCGCCAAGCTTCCTTGTCGCTATGTGCACGTATCTCGGAAACTCGGTTGTGAACAAACGTACCACATTGAATATCGCTCTTAATCCATGCAAGCACCGCTGTGGAATCCGTCCAATAGTATACGGTTTCTATTTTTCGATTTAAAGAGTTAATTACCAATGACGTGAGTCGTGTGGCAATAGTAGCAGCCATTAATTCAAGACGAGGAATCGTTGATTTTTCCGGAGTGACTTTGCACTTAATAAAGTGACTTTGACATTCCCATTATGCTCGGTTCGGGCAAAAATTACGGCAGCATATGCTTGCCCACTAGCGTCTCCGAAAACGTGTAAACTTAACCTTCCTGGCCCTATTTCACGAGGTATTTCTATTTGTTTCATCAGTGGCAGTTCTCGTACCCACTGACAAAACACGTCTCTCTCGGTCCCCATTACTTCTACGTCCCAATCAGTTTTTTCTTTCCATAACCTTTTTAATAAAAGTTTTGGCTGCAAAGACACGGGACATGTTACACCTATGGGATCAAAAATTTTATGAGTTGTGGATAATATTGTTCGTTTCGTTATATTATTAGTACAACCCGGTCCAAGAGCATCAGGATTAATCATAATAACATCTTTCCGTTTATCCCACCTGAGCCCTAAAATATTGGTAACGTTATCGCTAGTCGTATCGAGCGTGTACTCCCAACCTCTAAGATTGAAACCTCCCATGACAAATATTTCACTTGCAGTTTTGATGAACTCATGTAATTCATCAACTGTGTTAACGCTTGTAATACAGTTATCAACGTAAAATGATTCTTTAAGTTTTTTACTTATGTCGGCAGACCATATTTTTTGAAAGTTGTGATTACGTGTCATATTTTGATCATTTGAACAATTATTTAAATGTAGTTCGATAATTGCCGCCAACAAAAAAGGACTGCACGACAAACCAAATACTACACGTCTATGCCTATAAGTGACAAGCTCCTCGTTTTTAAACCACAAAAATCGCAAAAAATCTCGATCTTCGTTAGCAACATCTATCTGCAAAAATGCTCGTTTGATGTCCGCTATAATCCCGATTTTCCCTTCCCGAAATCTATTAATAATATTCGGAATGAGCGCTATCATATTGGGTCCCTTTTCTAAACAATTATTTAACGACGGTTTTCCTGGAGTGCTTGCCGACGCGTCAAATACCGGTCTAATCGGAGTCGTACTACCTGGTTTCAGTACTGCGCGATGCGGTAGATAATGACAATGCAAATCACCTTTGGAAAAGGGAACCTTTTCAATAATATTTTCGCTTAACCAATTGTCCAAAATTTCATCATATTCAAGAAAAATATTTTGGCCTTTCAGTTTTTTAACGTTAGATAATAACCGCTTCCACGCAATTTCGAAATTCGTAGGTAATGGTTGGTGATTATCCACCCAAGGTAATCTAACCTCGTATCGACCATCCGAATTAAAATTAGCTGTTTCTAAAACATACTTACGTGCCTTCATGTCTATTTCTGACCTTTCTACTGTTTCAATCGGATCTGTAATACCAAGTAGATCTAATTGCCATAAGTCAGTTGGCGTAGCAGTTTCAATAAACATTGCATTTAAAAGTATCGCCGAATCTGAAAGTTGCGATGTTGACGGTAATTTTCCCGTTACGGTCCACCCAAGCTTAGTTTTAAAAGAAGTTAACCCATTGCTTAATTCGCATATCTTCCCTGTGAACAGTTTCCCTATTACATCTGCCCCAATAAGAACTTCAATGGGAGTTGAATCACCGTCAATATCGCTGAGATGTATGTCCTTATTATCTAATTTCTTTAACAGGGGTTTACACTTTAATTGCGGAATTGATTCACAAATTATATCTTGACCTAATGCAATAAATTTGCAAGCAAAACGGTTATTTAAATCACGCAACCTAATTAAAATCAGATCGTGGCTTCCTACCTTCGACCGTTGACCACCGAAAAGGGAATGAATGACTTCTTGTTTGCCGTGGGATTCGTAGCCTAATTCTTCAGCTACAGACGAAAGTACATACGAGCGTTGAGAACCGGCGTCGAAAAGTACACGTATTACTTGTTCTCTGGTGTCGGAGTACAAAACAACTCTTGCAGTTGGTAAACAAACTTCTGGGCATCCCGAAAGTGTTGTCAAATTATTCTCCTTCGCGGTTTTTTGTGGTCGACGAGTATTGGTATCGCTTTCTCCATCTGAAACATATGCACTTTTCTCGTGTTTATTTACCAGTTCGCACAAAAGAAGTGTGTGTCGGCCTGAACACCAACTACAGCTTAACTTTACACGGCATGATTTCGAATTATGGCCATGCTTTAAACAGCGAAAACAACATTTCTCTCGCTTCACTATGTTTTTCCGCTCATCAAAGTTTAGTTTGCGAGCAACAGTACATTTGTTATTTTCGTGTTCGCCATTACAAAATATGCACGACAAATTGGATTTCGAAACAAACAGAGCGTTTGCAGTCGCAACATCACCTTGAACTTCATAGGTTTGCTTCCCTCGCAACTGCTTCCTTCCTTCTTGGTTCGCTGTAATGTTGAAGCCTGTCATTGCCATCTTAATAGTCTCCTGATCGCACACTTCTAGTTCCAGGAACGTCATCAATTGGGTCAGCTGGTCATGCGATTCAGTTGTTAAACCGTCTTTCCTACTGAACTGCTTCCATGCTCGTAGGACCTCTTCAGGAAGACAAGATTCAACCAAAGGATACAATAACGTAGCGTAGTCCTTTTTCATTACACCCAATGAATTGAGTGCCCGTAAATGCGATCCCAATTTGTCATATAAATCTGACAGTTTCGGTTTCCTTGTGTCAGACGCATTCTGAAGTACAAGGGCTAATAACTCTCGTACATAAAACTGTTTCACGAGGTCATCTCGTCCGAAACGGTTCTTCAAACTTTCTATCGCTTTTTCATAATTATCTCCCGTGGGAGGAAAACTGGTTACTATATTCTTGGCGCTAGATTTTTCGACTGTAGCCTGTAACAAGTATTGAAACTTCACTTCATTGCTTAAAGTCGGATCTTCGTGATACTTTTTGAATTGACTCCAAAAAGGAAGCCATTCCTTTACCGATCCCTCGAACTTCGGTATCTGTAATTTCGATAACGCTTTCTGTGTAAATGACGGAACGATTTCAGGAGATTGTGTTGCAGATGCAAGAAATTTATTCATTGCGATATTCGCGTCGATAAATTGTTTATGGTACGTATCATCTGATTCCAATTCAGCACTAATTTCATCTTCCGACATGTCACTCTGAAACAACTTTTTGTTATAATGTTCTTGACTGATATCTAATTCTTTCAGCCGTATTTCTAGTAATTGAAACGCGCTTTGCTTAACGTCCAAAGTGGTTTCCGTACAAACCGTCTCCATAAAGGTATTGAAAGCTCGAGTAAAAGCGCCGCGGGCTACAGTACGTCGTTTTTTGAGTGGTTCAGTCATCTTCAACTTTTTGTTGTACACCACCTAAATTTACCCACTTGTCCTGTAACGGTCGCCACTTGTTAAAAAACTAACACTCTGAGGAACGGGGCCGCTAATTTGGTGTACCAACACGCTGATATACGTCGCTTCTTCAACAAGAAATCAAATAACATACGGTTAAAGTGATCACTTTATCTATCCATACGGTTAAAGCACGGCTTAGCCTACTCATTAAAACCTATGAAAATGTCATTTTAACAATTATGCTATAAAATAAAACAAATTTTGCCTGCGAAATTTGTTGCCGGAGTGTTTTGAGATGACATCCGGGGATGCGTCCGCGGAGTACGGATATGAGATTGGTGCAGTTGCGCAATTTTTAAGGTTAGGTCGAAGTTCTTTTCCCAGTAAAGGGTTCGTGAGAAGGTATAATTGCATAGGATAGGACGACGTGGTTGCTGAATTACTTGTCCATTTGCCTGAAATTGGGATGCCGGAATAAAATAGTTTGGGTTTTTAGCGGAGTTAATGGCGATTCTACAACGGTTGGCCCACTGCGAGAACGGGAAAGTTGATGAGGGCGCCGCCTCTCTACTGTAACAACTCGTGGTCCAAAGAGCCGTGTCGTCAGCGAACAGGTTGACGGTCACGTTGCCCGAACATGGGATAGGAGTGTCCAAGAACGAGGCGATGGTGCATTTGCCTAGGTTAAAGGATTTGGTGACGTCGGTGTGGAGTTTAAACAACGGGTCATGTGTGGAGCGTCCTGGGCGAAATCCGTACCGGTTAGATGGGGAAAGATTTTGGGATTCAAGTTGTTTTCTGAGGCGGGTAGCAATAATTTCAGCCTGTTGAGTCTATCAGGACCAGGGGCACTGAGTGCATCAAAGAATACCGATAAATCTTAACTGCTTTGGTGCTTTGGTAGCTTATTTTAACAGAAGAATCATCAAAACCACTGTGACATAGCTCGGAAAGTGCCTTTCGCCAATCCACCTAGTTTTTACAGAGCACATGAAAGGTGGGTTCACTTGACTTAGTCCAAACAACTTTAAGCAACAAAAATCCACCATCAATGACATTGCATTATAGTAGGTAAATAATTTTTTTAATTCTATTACAAATTTGTATATAGGTATAAATCTTTCCATAGACGTAAGGTGGTGATTGGAATTGCGCCTCCAGAAGTCCTATTTTGATTGAGATTGCAATGTATCTCAGCTATTTTGAAAGATTATCTTGCGGTTTTCGCGACCCTATTCCACTTTTGCTGAAACTTTTAATATCACAAACAGGATCAATCTAATTACGTTTATTTTTTAGATACAGGGTGAAAACGAAAAGTTTGACATGTTGGGATGTTACTACCCAACCCATGTAAGATAGAAAAAGGGAGAAACTGTCTATTTTAGATATTTTTACGTAGAATGCAGTAGCGTAGTAACAACATTTTTTGGCCTACATTTTCTGAGATTTGAACCAAAGTTTGTGTTGCTTTAAATGCAACACTCTGTATATGTTAACGCCGATTTTTTGCATTCTTTTTCCTGGTCGCATTGATGTATCAAAACGTACATTTTTTTTAAATTTTAGCCATGAACTAAAAATAAAAACCTGATTTTTTAGGGTTTTTAAATAGTAGGGTTCATGGAGATTTTCTTTTTTTATTGTGTCCATGGTAACCAAGGCAACCGATACCAATCAATAAAAAAGGCTGACGGTAATACAAAAATTCTTTAAAGCATGATATAGTATATAAATAGGGATACAACAAAGTATCAGTTGTGATACATCAAAGAATGCAAAAAATTAAAATAATATCAACCTTGGGTCAAATCTCATAAAAGATGGTCCAAACATTTTTTAGCTATGCCACTGGATTCCACGTAAAAATATCTAAAATAGGCAGTTTTCACCTTTTTCCTATCTTAACACGGGTAGTAAGGTATGATAACATCCCAAAAATTCAACATTTTCATCCTGTATCTCAGAAACAAACGTAGCTAGGTTGATTCTGTTTGTGGTATTAAAGTGTCACAAGCAAATGGTACATTACAATAACATACAATTATTGACCATATGTATAGTTGTTTACCACATGTGCATGTGAATTAGAGTAGTTTTAAGAATTTTAGTTAATGTAGACTTCACAGGCATTCCCCATTTCGTGCTATCAGCGCCGTTAGCTTGGCACCCACTCCGACTTTGGCCGTTTAACTAGTTATTGTAACGAACATGTGTAAGTAATAATAATAATAATAATAA